CACTCACACACCATACACTCACACACCATTCACACACGCACACCTACAGGAAATTTGGTAACTCGGCATGTTTTTGGGCTGTGAGGAGAAACTGTATCTGGAGGAAACACCACTGGGAGAAAATGCAAACTCCACCCACGCGGAGCTGTGCGGAGACTCAAACGCTGGTTCCAGTAGTGTGAGGCAACAGGGCTAACCACTGTGTCACCGTGCTGCCCCCACTGTGACCCATTACCTACATTAATTAATCAGTATATACAGTCATGCATCACTTAACAATGGGGATATGTTCTGAGAAATGAGTTGTTTGCAGATTTTGTCATTTATTTCAGGCAAACATCATAGCGTGTACTTACACAAACCTAGATAGCCATAGTCTACAACAGACCTGGGTTAGAGTACATTTTTTTGTAAATAGAAAGAGTACACTCTAAAATAATGACAAAAAGTACATTACAGTAAATGCATGAGAAACATTATGAAGGTTATGACGTCTTCCTGTCATGTCAGGCAATAGGAATTCAGCTCCGTTACAGTAAAATCATGTGGAACCACCAATGTATATTTGGTCCATCGTTCAAAAAAATGTCATTATGCGATGCATGACTGTACAACCATCTGGCTATTCTATCATACAAAAAAAGGAAAAAGGAATTCCTCCCACTCTAGACCGTATATATCTAAATTTCTTATATATATTACATATAATTATGAAATACAAGTAACCATAACTTATCTGCAGAGTTGCATAAGCTCTTTTTTCCGTGCCCAAAGATCATAAATAATGAATACACAAGTAGTGATCAAAAGTCATGAATGAATAATGAATACAAAATAATGATCACAAATCATGGATGGTTAATCGGCATTTAATGTCACAGTAAAATCGACGCACGTGTGCTGAATAACCGGGGACGTTATCAGAGGAAACCGGCGGCACCGATGAGTAATTATTGACCAGTAAACGGATAGCGATGTGTGGACGAGCTTCATCATTTATCACCTCCTCTGTGGGGTTATGCCGCTCATGAATGATGCAGTGTTACGATAATCTGATTATCCAGACGCCGGTATATCCGGAAGAGGCCTGTAGGTAGGCGTGTCTGGTTGGCGCGTGTCTGTCCACTGGCCATTCTCAGCCGCGGCGACTCGCCAACGTGTGAAACGGAACGGTGTCAATGACGCCGAGGACATGAGAGAATGACTGGTGATGGTGTGCTGCCTGACGGT